CACCAAACGGCGATCCACTGTGGCGTCATGTTTGCTAGCAGACAAAGATCTGAGCTAACGCCGGCTAGCTTGTGTTGCAGCATCGCCTGCTTCTTTGTGCCCTCTTTGGAACTTCAGTGGAGCTTGGCGAACCTATTCCCTGCACTGCTGACTTCGCCGTGCAGAGCGAAAAAAGAGAGAATCCTTCTTGAATTGAGACTATGAACCCATCCGCTGCGTCAACTCCTTGCGTCAGCTTCCTTTATCCCCACCCATCCAACCGCCAGACATCTCTTACGGTAGTTTGCTTGCTGACGACGCCCTTGCGAAAGTCAACCAAGAGCCCATCTTCGAAAAAAATAATATGAGAACTCCCATGCACACGGAAGTTGAATTCTGAAACAACGAAGACTTGTCGAGTAGATGTCCGTGTATACGCAGCAACATGACGCCTCTCGAATGCACCCCGTTGTGTAAACAGAAATATGAACAAATCAATCTACCCCCGAGCCAGCATGGATCGCGTGAAGGGCTTCTCAACCTCCAGCGAAACCGCGCTAAACAAAGTCAAGCACATCCTTGCTTTCCAGCAGCAGGCCACTGCAGAGCCTTCCGGAAAGCATCTTCACCCTATCACGTACGTCTCCGAGCCTGTCGTTGCAACACAACATTGATGACTCCCTTTTCTTTTCACGCGGGTGAGCAATGTCTCGGCACAATGAACTATAAAGGATATTACTGAAGCCAGTATATGACTTCAGCAAGGCCCCCGTTTCGGGTACCTCTGTTTCTGCTTAATAAAACAGAGAGCGGTTTGGACAGATATAATAAAACATGGGGGAAGCTCCCCCCCCAAACACTGTCAACTGTGTATGCGGCTGATTCACTGTGGAGTTTGCTCAGGCCTCATAGCCTCCTCATATGGTGGCGGTGGAGGATGAACAACAATTCTTTGGAATGGAGGCCCCATGGGGGGAGCAGAAGGACCAGGAGGCGGAAAATGAACATTATATGGCTCCGTGTAGTGCGGTGGAAACGGATGGGGTGTAAGAGGAGAACCCGGCTCGTGTACGAAATGACCCCCCGTATAGGGCCCAGGAGAAACTGGATGTTCGAATAGACCAGTGTGCTCAGGAACGGTTTGGGAAAATGCGTGCCGCTGTTCCCGAATCCAGTCGCGATGCCTCACGAGGGTTTCTTCAAGTGGTGGTCTCCCACTCCCACCCCCCGCAGCTGAATCTGCACCGTTGCCTCCTTGGCCCCCCGATGAGTCGCCCTTATCTTTGCCCCGGCGGCGGCGGTGTGCACCCCCTCGGTTGCCGCTCTTTTCTTGTTCATGCGACACCACAGGAGGAATGAGAGCTATGGCTGTCATG